GGTGGGATGCGGATTCGAACCCGCGACTCTCAGATTGTGAGTTGAGCGCCTTATCTACCTGGCCATGCCGGGCCCAGGATTTGTAATGTGTAATCTTGTATATTTCGAAGCCACCACTGTTAAGAACACTGCGACATTAGACCCCAGTCCTCTTGCAAATCCACCAACCAATCCTCATTATTTATTAGCTTATCTTAAAAAGTATTTACTTGAAGGTAACACCGTCGAACCAAGCATTCTACAAGAGCAGAGCTAGAAAGACGTAAAAATGGATTTTATTCTACACTTGCGAAATGTGAAGAGACACGTGACTAGCAGTCTCGCACCCTATGTTTTGTCAATAAAAAATAGTTGACTTAAACATTCATTATTCTGACTCTTTTCATCTTTCTTTTCACAAAATAAATGCCTAGCCCACAAATCGTTGTTTTTGTTAAATATTTACAAAACTATCAGTAACAGTATAGGTTACCACAAACGTTATTTGAAAGGCATTCAATTATTCCACGCCTTTCATCTTCAGCTGTTGTAAACAAAACGTTCTTGACTTGTTGCTTCTATTGTTTTTTGCCTCACTGGGCGGTTTCTCAAACAATGATCTGGATAACTTTAAAACGAATACATGCATGCTCACTCATAAATGGATTATATGTAAAAAGTGAGTACAATGGAACTTTCAGCTGTTGTGAAAATTACAAATCAAAACAGCAAAATTTACTCTCTTTTCTAAAGTTACTGTATCAAAGTTTCAGTGATCAATAACGTAAAAAAAAATTCTCAGAAGGGCAAAAAATAAGTTCAAGCGGAATAAAACAAATGATGGTAAAAAAAATAAGGTGCTGAAAGTTACAGGAGATGTAAAAGATAAAAAGTCCTTTAAAAATTTGAGAAGTCCTTTAAAATTTGAGTAAGCGTGGCCCATTGGTTAGCGTGCCGGTGGATCTGCTAGTGAAATGCTGGCGTTCTATTACCGCCATAAAAAAAAAAAGTCCGCACTCCGCAGTTTTCTGTTAAGAGTAGTCGCATCAAGAATCGGGTGATGCTATTGGTTATCAGTCTCTTGGTGTTAAGTTCAAAATTAGAAACAGTTATGCTTGAACCCTAAGAGTCCAGCCTTTCAGCCTAAAGGAAAGCGAATTTTTTGTAAAAATGGTGTTTGTTAGGAATTAACACTTTGAAATACTTTATAGGTTTCTTAATGACATATATACTACAAATACATTAGAAAAGAAACCAAATAGCTCGAGTGCTTTCGGAAAGTAGACTTTTCTTCATTAGAAGTAAATGGCAAATGACAATTATAAGCATGTTGAACAATCACGTGGCCATTGTAACGGAAGTGAGACGTCATGCATTTCTAAGATTATAACCTAGTGTAAATTTGCATTGCACGAGTGTATGTGTGTGATGTGTAAGCGATTGGAAACAGAGAGAAAAAATAGTTTTCAAGTGCTGACGGCTTAGAGGAATAAGTGTTTGTGTAAGAATTAATGTCCAGAACAAATGGAAGACTTTTCAACAAAATATCTTAATCATACATGAACTGAGGAGTGACATATTAAAAAGACTTTTAAGAAACGAAATCCAATAATAATACATATATAAACGAGAACATAAGAACAATATATATTGAATAACAATTATAACACACAGATAAAAATAAGTTTATTTAAGTAATACGAGATAAAAAGTCATTGATGAAATGACAGAGAAATCTGTTGCAAAACAAACTTTTTTAATAATTTTCAGAAAAACGTTTATATATGACATGAAGATAATTAACACCGGTGTCAAGATTCACATATTTGGGGTGACACTGTCTAAAATACTGATCCATTAGGCCTCTTTCATTTCCCTGCCAGAATTTAAAATACTGATCCAATAGGCCTCTTTCATTTCCCTGCCAGAGTTTAAACTATTGATCCAATAGGCCTCTTTCATTTCTCTGCCAGAGTTTAAAATATTGATTCAATAGGCCTCTTTCATTTCTCTGCCAGAGTTTAAAATATTGATCCAATACGCCTCTTTCATTTCTCTGACAGTTTTTGAAGTACTGATCCAATACGCCTCTCTCATTTCTCTAACAGTTTTTGAAGTACTGATTCAATAGGCCTCTTTCATTTCTCTTTCAGCTTTTGATATAAACCCGGATTCTATACCGAATAGAACCATGTCATTGATGGAGCGTTCAGGCTGGTTAAAGTCTAGGGCAACATGAAGGTCTTTTATAGTCTTGACAGTGGATCTTTGGTTATTAAACCGTTCTATAAAGGAAGTGTGTGTTTTATCCAAGATATTAATGGTTGCATTTTTTTGCACTGTATAAGATATATTGTTTTGAGTTTGGCAAGAGACTGATTTTGCTATGATTTAGTGTTTTTTATGTTAGTTAGATAAAATACTGATGATTTTTATAAACTTACAATTTTACATCGAACTTTATTACAAGGAGACCAGCCATTATGTGGTGCAGTACAATGGGTGAGGTTTGTGTGAAATAGGATATCTCTAAGGTTTTTGCTTTTTTTTATCGGAAACAACAATAATATCAGGGTAGATTTACTTTAGATGTTCAGTGAGCTGTAAAACATAAAAATGTTTTTAAGGATTAGCAATGAATTTTAAAATTTTGTTCAGCATCACATTTTGGATATTATGTGTTAACCAGAGGAATTATTTTAGATTGCTTGGGGTCAGACTGGTTGAGGGCAACAGAATGTGAAATTTCATCAACTTTTTAAATGTGATTTTTTATTTTAAGAAACTTTACAGCTTTTTTCTTTCATGGATATTTATTTAGTGCTTCAATGTGTATGTGTTCTGTAACGATTTATTTCAGTGCAGATATTTTTTACGCGAAGGGAACTATTGTAAGTAATGTTTCGTTTAATGAGGGATGGATGACAGGTTTGATAATGGAAATATTGTGGCCCGTCTGTGATTTTTTGTACAAGTAAATATGTAGAAAGCCATCTTTTGAAAATACATTATATACACACATACACAAGATTTTCGTAGGAAGCACCTAAAATAGACTTTGAAAATTATAGTTGACAATGATCTTATGAAAACATGCAATAGTCAATGTATAACTTAATCACACATATTTTCTATGTGATTCTTCCGGAGTTGATCTCGAAGTCACAAGTTGATAACCAACATAATATATAAGACAACAAATAAAGTAACAGGTACATATAATTGATAATCCTATATACTAGATTTAGCGTATGTCTTTTCTCATATGGACGTGGAAGTTGTTGGAGTATTAGTTTAGTGGTTTAATATATCAAATACGTATACTCTTTCTGCATTTCACTGAGTATGATATAATATCGTCTATCGAAGATCACAAGCAATACGAAATTACAAATACTGTCGTCTTTAGAATCAACTTGACCAGTAAATCCTTCAATTAATCCAGAACTTTTAATAAACTCCTTATCTTAGGCTGTTATCTGAGCCGATTCTTTGATGTTCTTTAGTCTTCCTATGAGGTCGTATTTCCCACTTGTAAATAACATTCAGGTGGAAAAGTTAGTACAACTTTCTCTTGTATCAGTAGTAAACGTTTTCATACTTTCTCCAAAACAGTTGCTCCTTGCGCTAACAGTGCGGCTTCTCCTTCCTCCGACATTACGAAGAGTTCTCCAACGTTCTAAGTGGTAGTTGAGAGTATTCCGGACCTTAAGGAGGAGATATATACCAGAAAAAAACTTAATTTTATTCTTCCTCTCTAAATTCATAAGTTACATAACTGTTATAGTTCGAAAAAACATATCCTTGGATTTTAGTACAATTATTAATATATATATAGTGATGTGATATTAAAACGAAATTTATATAAAGATCACCAACTATGGGATCAACTTCAATTTCAGTTTAAAAAACACTGTTTTACCAGTGGTGAATTTTCAATGAACTGCATATAACTGGAGTTTTATGAATGCAACGTTTCGGTCTCTGTAGAACTCAAAATAGAGACCAAATCGTTGTCTGCTATAAGACTCCAGGCAAATACAGCCCATTGAAAATCCTACGCTGTTACTGCCTACTGTTTCAGAATACGCCAGTATTTCTGAAAATGAATTTAGTGAGCATTTTATTAAGGAGGCTTGTAATACCTTAAGTAATAATTTTCTACTCTTGATATTAACAATTTGCATCACATGGCACGATCCTGGAATCTCTTGTGAGCTGCGTTCCTTACTGGGTGGTTTAAATTTTGTATTTTACCCTACCCACTTAGAACAAAAACAATATTCTCATCCCTAATAACCTGTTCAATATCCTATATGTTTGCGTTTTTTTGTTTTTTTTTGTACTCCTAGACTGAAATCCACTTTACTCAAAACTGGCGTGTGTTACCCATCTTCCTGTAGAGGTTATGATGTTGTTTCAATTACTATAAACCATGTTTTTTTATTGTTAAAGTTATTCACAGTAATTAGGTGTTACATTGTGTTCTAATAGATTTATATGTTTTCATGTTGCTCAAAATATATTTGCTCCCTTTTTCTTTCGGGTTAACCAATGTCTTAAAATGTTCTTATTATAATATACGTGCTAGATTTCTTCTAACATTTTGTAGCTGGTGTGGCACTGAACTATGCGACTGATTTGTAGTGTAAATGATACAAGAGTCTTAATATATACCAAAACCACACAGAAGCATTTGCAGAACAAATGTTCAGGGAATATAGAACACCAGTAAGAATAATAAATACAGCAAATAACCAGCGTCAATGTGTATCATAAATTTCAACCCTTGTTATAATGGAGAACTTCAATACTGGAAATTTTTTTATTAATCATATATAAATGGTTGATCTGAATTTAGAAAAATACATAAGAAAATAAACATTTGTATTTTAAAAAAGATCTATGTAAATTAAAACGAAACTTAAATTTATTAGCGTGATCAGTTTTACAGTGGAAATGTGTTTTAAGAAATTAAAGCTGAGACGTTTCAGCCCATTGGGGCGAGTCATCTTCAGCTAGTCTAAGTTTAACAACCACGTAAGCTTAAATACAAATAGTTTTGTTCAATATTATATTTCAAAACATAATGAAATTCTAAATCAATTGCATATGAATAACTTATGTAAATGATAAGTTGAATTCTTTTTTTTTTTAAGAATAATCTGCTCTGGATAACTCTATTATTTAATACAAATGCAATAAATCCAAGTACAATTATATTTACCTAGCAAATTAAATATAAAACAATGTTAAGAGACTTACCAAACCTTTACTATTTCTACGGCTATTAATATTAATAGTAAGAATTAAACAAAATATATGCCTTTTGAGTTTTAACATAAGAAAACATTTTTTATTATAAAGAAGCTTATAAATATAAGGATGTAAATTAACTGTAATTTGCGTTTTTTAAATTTAGAAATAATTATTTATAGCCTTACTTATTAGAAATAGCATTTTTAAATATGCACAAAAAGCAACATATTTCTCACCTCAGCATTCATGAAGCAATACAAAAGAGACACTGCAAATCCCTGTTTGACATTAAGAAAAAGTTATTTAGTAAATAATGTTCACAATACAAACTTACAAACTTTTGTATAGTAATGACAGGTAAATATTTCATTTAGTTGTTAAAACTCAAGACCATGTGTGTTAGATTTTTCTGTTCAATAACACGGTATGAGTAAAGTGATGTGGATGATTAGGTATTTTTATAAAGTAACTCAGTTATAATTTACTAAACACACATATATATGTTTACATTTCTTTCTTAAATACTCAAACTACAACCACTTTATTGTTAATCAGTAATAACTGGAAAAATGGAGCAGTCTAGATTAATTAGAAATATATATATATATATCAAATTGGTATCTACACCAAGCGTAATAGTACATGAATTCTGCAACTCTGTTGAGATGCTCAAATATGAAATTAAATTGCAAGTGAAATGTGAATGTATTGTGTTTTCACTTGAAAATTATAAAAGTTTCTACTTTAGGAAATTGCAACTTTTATGACTTAAGATTCGTTCTAAATAATACAACTATTTTCTTGTTGTACCTATATCAATAGCTTTTCTAAAAATTCAGAATAATTTAGGCCTCATCAGAGTTTTCTCTATCTTGCAAAATAGCGTGCAAATCACCGAAAACTATCATTAAAAAGACCCAAGACCCCAAAAGATCAGATGAAATAAAGATATCGGTGCATAATTCATGTTTCAGAATGCACTAAATTTTATGAAAACTTATGAACCAATAAAAGATACATTTTCCCCATATCTTTAAATTATAAGTTTTGCCGTTATTTAGAGAATAGTCAAAAAAGTATTTAGAATCAAAAAGTATAACTGTGAACAATATTGTTGTTCTAGGGAACATATATCATTATCTTATTTGTTTTACCATATATTGTTATCATCTATTTCTGATGAAATAACCTATATCATTATCTTATTTGTTTTACCATATATTGTTATCATCTATTTCTGATGAAATAACTTATATCATTATCTTATTTGTTTTACCATATATTGTTATCATCTACTTCTGATGAAATAACTTATATCATTATCTTATTTGTTTTACCATATATTGTTATCATCTATTTCTGATGAAATAACCTATATCATTATCTTATTTGTTTTACCATATATTGTTATCATCTATTTCTGATGAAATAACCTATATCATTATCTTACTTTGTTTTACCATATATTGTTATCATCTATTTCTGATGAAATAGCCTATATCATTATATTATCTGTTTTACCATATATTGTTATCATTTATTTCCGCTGAAATAGATCTGTTAGTTTTCTTGTTGAATTAAAAAAGATGTGTTTAATAGGATTTTGAAGATCTTGTTTTTATTATTACATAAAAACCATCAAGTACAAACTTATTTATTTATTTTTTACATGGGGAAGTGCCTTTGGTTAAGTGAGCTTGTCTAACGACTAACAAGTGAGAACCACCAAACCGACTGATACTCCTTCAGTCTTTGCAGTATTATGAATGAAAAAATATATACCTGGATTGAAAGTAACGTAGCCTGAATGTATGTGAAAACCAGCCGAGCTGTCTTGTGTGTTGGGGTAACTATGACCAAGACATAAGTCACTCCAAGAAGTGGAACAAGAACAAGGAGAGCCTTAGCAGCCTTTCTGGGGAGAAAGAAAGAAAAATAATATTTCCTAAGATTCTTTTTTTTTGTTAGAATGCATCAGAACAAGACATCTGTTTGCATTCTAATGAAGTAATATAAATACTTATCAATTGAATATATAAACATAAATACAGTCCCACAAGTATGTATATATTCCTCAAGTGTTTCATGAATTTTGGATTAACACAATATGAAACAAGAATATCGAAGAACATGTGATTGTTTTATTAGTCTGTATATATGTAAGTATAGTAACATATTTCTGTTTGCAATAAAATTCATTACATATTCGAAAACACTTTTCATCATTTACATTTTAGAGTAAACTATGGAGCTGGAATTCTGGCTTTAATGGACTGCTCTGACGAGTTTTTAAAGCGAAACGACGTTTTGGCTTTTTCAACTTGAAAAAGACCCCAGCAAAGAAGCCGTAACGTTGTGCCACTTCAGAAACAAACAGGAGCAGCCCATTATTTCCAAACTTTTACCATGAATTCTGCCTAAAGTACCATTGAAAAACTGTGGAGCTTTCCTGAGTAATGATAAAAATGTATTATTTTGTGGTACCCTAAGTAATGGTATTCTCTCTTCCTATAAGAAACTGGGAATATTGAAGAAAAAACAACAAATGCACTCCAACAGTATACTTGAAAGCTGCAATATAATATTTTTGAAGCTTACTAGGGTCTCACTTTTACTAGCTTTGTTCTTAGAAAAAATGTTTGTGATAACTTTATATTTATCAGTTAACCCAAATACGCTTTAAATTATACAATTATACATATTATACAATTGTAGAAAACCAAAACTTGTTTGAGATTTATGGTACTTCCATATTAATAAAACAATAAATTGCGTCCCTTGGATTTACGTGAATTAAGTTAAGAAAAATACCTATACTGTTGATGTTCCACAGTGGACCTGACGCGTAACTTCGTGATTAAAACCCACATTATTCTTCCAAGGAAGTACAGATTTCCCTAGAACAACAGATGGCAACATTAAGCATATAAGCTAAATTGTACAAAGAATTATAAATTGTTATACTATTGTTAATTACCGCATCGTGATAAACGTTTAGCATGGGGTCATTTTTGATTCCAAGTTGTTCTTGCCTTATTCAGACTTTATCTATTTTGTATAATGTGATAATTTATGCTTTTTTAGGTACCATGTTCTAATTATGTATTTCAAGTTGTAAAAATCAAATTTGAAACAGTTTTGCTTTAAATACCCATGAGATCAACTTTGACCCCTTGTTGTATTTTAATATACTTTCAGATATTACTTTATTATACATATAATATAGTAGGATCATTAAAAAACTACACTACATCCAAATCTGCTGTATATCATACTGTCACAAAATATATCGTATTATACACAAGTTGAAATAGATAACTAAATCATGGCAATTCGAAATTTACTTATTAATAATCCGAACTTAGCCAAAATCGTTTATATAAAACACCTCATTTTGTCAATCTTTCATCAAACTTGCAAAGTTTTTACAACATCTCTGATTGTTCTACTACGTCTAGAGTAAGAAAGTTGCGACCAGACGATATTAATACACTTTTATTTTGTTCTGATCATGAAGAGGCTGATGATGAATATACATTAACTTGAAATCAACCTGAATTGGATGATATTTCTATAAGCGAAAATGAAAGTATTTGTATCTTGTATTTATGGCAAATCTACCAAGGCTGTTTACTGCCGTTCCTAATTTTCGGCTATTGATTAGAGGGAACGCAGCCGTTCAGTAGCACTCAACCATCAACTCTACGCTAAAGAATTGACTTTCACTTTTATAACGTCCTCACAGCCTCAATTTGTGGGGATTAATTTATGGTATCGCACAAATTAGTACCAGGCTCACCAGCTCCGAAATTCATAGCTCTACAATAGGGCCAACTCGCGCCCAAAATAAAAGTGAAGAATCATATGATGAGAACGATTCTGTTGTCATACCCATCTCAACCTCTTCCCAAATAGTTTTTTTATGAAGTTGTCATTTGGTGTAGAAGTCTAGCTCAGCCACCTTACAGGAAATAATCATTAGCAAATACCGTAAAAAAAAAAAAAACTGGCCCAGCACGTCATGCAGGTAGAGATTTATCAATATAAAAATGATGATTTGATTACTTATGAAGAAATTCGTGCTGTATTTAATCATAAAGTGGACAAATAAAGAAGGAATGCATCTGTACAAGGATGAGAAACAATTATATCAAGACAAACATTTGACGTATATAGAACTCATGATAGTGGAAGATGTGTTAGATTTTGGGGAGCCAATACGCCAAGTACGGAGTGAAATATAGGTAAGGACAATTTTTAATAGAATCATGTCAATAAACAGGTTCCAACACATATCAAGAACACTTCCATTTGATGTTGCTGGTGAGACGCAGATAAGTTAGGAACTTTTGAGTAACTGGGTAAACTGATACTTGTTAATTTCAAAGGTTGTATTTTGTATACATAAATCAAGACGTACACAAAACGTATATGGATGTAATTAACTTAAGACATTTTTAATACCTCAGAGATTCTGCACTCTGGGTTGTAGTTTTACTCCCCTAGCGTATTATTGATTAATGTTTAAGTTATAATCTTTCACTATATTATAAATACAGGAACACTAGTAGCGTTATTCAGCGTTGCCCGGGTTTTCTATAAAGAAAAAAAAACTACTCCCTGTGTTTTCCCGTTTCATATTTCGATAGGTAAAAAATATTTTGTGAATTTAAGAAAAAAATAGAATGAAAACAACCTTAGGTTTGATTTTTGAAAATAAACTACGAACCTGTTTTAAAATAGGGGATCCTTATGAACGATGTTTTTACTGGCAAGGATAAATAGGCCCTTATGGAGAATATTTAGATTATCTTACACACGTATGAGTATCCGTTCTAGCGAACAGGATAAGCCTAGCTCTATTCCCCCCCTCCCCCGTCATCCCTCTTCAAATATTAAAATTTCAAACGTAAATATTTATGTAATATTATGTTTAATTTACTTTAATATAAATCCAATATATTTTTATGAATGTGATACCGTATTCACATTATGACATTAATGTATGAAATATACTTCAAACAAAATATAATATTGTACTTTATAATATATCAAAATAAAAAAAATCACTTCCAGTTATCAAACTATCCAGAGGAAAAAACAAAAACAAGTAAACTAAAATGCATTCGCTGACTTGACTTTAATCTCATTTTACACAATAAGTATTATAATGTAAGCCTTACTCTTTTCACGTAGTTTATTTTATGGTAGACAGTATAATTATATTTAATAGGCTAGGCCTACTGTTTGCTTTTTCACACATAACAAGATAATTCTGCATACATTTCGTTTGTGTGTATGGTTAAATATATGATGTGTTAGCAGATATATAGTTAATGATCTATAACCAAATAGGCCTATAATACTATATAATAAATTAAATGAGTAATGCCAAGCAAGTAAAAATTAAGATTCTCATGTATCGTATTAGTTATTAACTTTATTTTGGTATAACATATTCACTGTAATGAAAATGTTAAGTATATTTTTTTTTTCAGAGGGTGGGATGTTGTTATGGTTTGTAATTTCATCTAAATAGAGAGAACTTGATACTCCCGGAAACTTAGTTTGACATTATGTTTACATCAAAACTTATAACAAAAAAAAAATAACTTCTTTAAGTAGGGGAGATAATATTCTGACTAGATAATGCTGTTTTCAGGAGTTTACAATTGTAATAAGTAACGCTATATCTACTTATTATTTTGAAATGAAACTCTTCATTTAAATTTTAAAGTATTTCTTCCAAGTCAATCTATTGTAACGAAGTACGCCTTGTGAAAATGTAAATGGATATACAGAAGTTGAGCATGTTATCTTAGAACAATTTTGGAGTTTCAGCACGTCGTTATTGTCAACGTCACTACGTCCGATCGTGCTCTGTCTGACGACTGTACATGTGGACAATGGCCCTACAACGTATTTTTCATTACAAAAGGCTCCATCGTAAGGTTGACATGTTCAGAGTACAATTCATTCTATCTACAGCTTTCTATAATCCCTCTAGTACACAAAGAAAATGATATTTCAATACCCATTTCAACTATCCGAATGCACAGATATCCATAAGCATGGTGTCCAGCGACTTGACTGGTACAGAATAGTATGAATACCCGTTTCATTCTCCAGCTGCTTGAGGTATGCGATGGATGGGGTTGAACAAATATTTCATTGAAGCAACTTGTGTACAATCGACTTATGCCGCTTTTCCATTCGGATGGCATTTAGGATTGTGTTGTGAACTGTTGCTTGAGGCACGTGGACAGATTTTGTTCGTCGATTATCACCTGTTACAAGACGCTGTACTTTGCTTACCATAGCTGGTGTACGACTTGTTGCAGGTCTTTTTCTGGATGGCCCTAGTGCTCCAATTTTATCCATATTACTCTGATTTATAACGTCATTAAAAATATAAGGGATATCCATGTCTTGGAAATTGTAACTCTCCGATTTTAACACATTTTTATGATCACAGTGTATAGATATTTTGCGTCGTAAAGGCTGATACACACTGTTCCCAAAAACGATCAATGTTGGATGGCATCATACTACCTACGAACGCCAAACAGACTCAAAATGTAGTTCTGATACGTGTCGTTCCATCACGACTTTATATCAGATATGACTTGGTGATTTGTATGTTCAAAATCGTTTTAACGTAATATATTCAAACCTGTAAAATTTATTGATTATGGGTGAAGTGTCATACATTAATGATACGCTTCTTTGTTTTTAATCGACACAACCACAAATTTAAATTTCTCGGCGTTGTCATTACTTTTAAATCTAAACTTAAGAAGTTTATGATGGAATAGTATCTAATTCCATACACACTGGTAAAAAAAAAAGTCGTAATAATGTTTTAACTCCTATAAAGAGGGTCACGGGGTTCTGTGAAATTGAAACGTCTATCATAACTACGGTAGGTATCTTTAAATATTTTTTATCGTTGCTTTTTCTTACCTAAGACATCTCTGTTATATGTTGAAAAGATGAGGGGAGGGGTTGTCAGCACAGTGGGAAAAGTGGTGAGATACAACTAACATATGGAATGCTTTTATATCAAATAATAGCGTGAAACATGTTAGCTTACTAAAAACAGTCAATGGTAAAATTCATAAAAACAGAAAATTTCTGTCAGTAAAAGAAAGAATTAATTTTGAAAGTTTGGTAACAAATTAAGTAGTAGAGAAGGGTTAAGATGAAATAACAAAAGTGTCTTAGAATGAATTATCTAATCACACATGCCTGCGATGGTTTTGTTGTCTTGAAATTTTTACATGTTCTACAGTAATTTCTGTACGCTGATACCGAAAATGATATCCACGTACAGATTTTTCACAAAACGTTATAACGCAATACATAAAAGAAAGAATACAACACCCATAATTTTGAGACTAAAAGACGTAGATTTCACACACACACACACAAAAAAATCAGGAAGAATGAGGATGCATATTCGTTTGACATCAATGTTCTTCCCTTTTCTTCAGTTTGTTTGTACCTTTGTTAAAAACAAAATAATAAAAAATGTTCATTGTGGTAAACGATATAATGATTTGATCTAAGTAAGAGATTTTTTTCTTCCCGATCACGTAAAAAATCCTTACGTGATAGAAAACTTAATTTTGTTTTCGAAATCTGCATGGCTAAATTATGGAAAATCCGTTATTAAAACCAAAACAACTTTTACGAAGTTTAAATTCGCAGGCCTGTGTTTTCAACCGCAGACTGAATAACAAAAAGGAGTTGGATATAAAAATGTTGTTGCGATTTCTCAGAGTTGGGGGGAACTAAGAACCTCATATTTGAAAAAAATCAGTACTATGCACTTATGGTCTCCTAGAAGGTTAAAACAGCACGAATTTCTAAACATATTTCCGTTAGTGTTCGAAACAGTATAATGTGATACTAGTTGTTCTGTAATAATGAAAATAATTTTATAGAAAATAAACCCAATATTGAAAATTTTGTGGGCAATCTTATGTGTGCTAATTGAATTCAGAGTAGGCTTGACACAAAAAGCTAGTCTTCTGCAAACCTCTTTTTTACATTTGATCTAATTTTCGTGCCACAGACACTAGTGAAGAACTGATATAAACTTATTGTTTTAAATTATTTCTTGTTCAATGCTCATAGTTACTGAAAATAACAAGCTCTACTTTGATTTCAACACAGGTAGTGAACTTAGTAGATATTTATGTTGTTGTGAAAGACGAAAGTAAGTATTCCATTTGTACAGTCATGTGTTATCACACAATTTTAACGAGGATTTTTTTTTATGTGAGGTACGTAGCAAAATTTCGACCATGGGATTTTTTCCACTCGCTCTAGTAAAAATCTACTATGACACTCAAAAGGATTTTTCATAAAATTTTCAAAATATAATTAACATGGCTGAAATAAATATAAAAAGGAAATTGCAATAATGTGTTATATATATTTCTAAAGCAAAATAGTTAATTTTCCAGAGACTATATTAATATATATGTATAAGCATAGTAAAATAAACCGAGAAAATATACAGAAAATATCCACAAATTTTTATTTAACAACTTAACAACAAATTTCAAAATTAATCATTCTAATGTTAAAACACTAAAAATACTTTCTCTTTTTAATGTTTTTGCTACAATTAAACCACTTAAATTTTGTTCTATTTTTGAAGGTTGAAACATTTTTGCTTCTAAAAAAACCCGCTCTTGTAAATATCTGTAATTTACATCCCAATGTAAACAAAATCAAACACTTATTAATCTTATAATATTTACTGAAAAGCGCCTCATCTTAAGGGAAGAACAACACATAAGACTTGTATTTATTTTTCCTTAATGAAGAAACAAGTAGAAGACTTACTGCTAAAACAGATATGACAGGAACAATGAAGATGAAGTCATAGTTATCTTTGTTTTTCCAGGGACACCTAAAAATAAATAGAAATGTTTGAATTTTGAAAATACATTTATTTAAACAATATTTGTAGTATTTTAAATAAGATTCCCACATAATCAGAAAATAAAGAATACATTTTGAATTATAATCAGTGACACTGTAGGAGCAAAACAATTTTATTTCTGTTGCATGTGTGTTTCTGGAGTTTTACCATTATTAAACATATTGTAAATGATTATTTATATTCTACTTATTTTATTTATAACGCTAAAGTTTTGGTCGTTTTCGATAAAAGTGAAGAGTGCTGCTTAACAAGATGAGCGTCAGATAATAAATAATAAACACCTAGACAATAGTTCTAGAGGTAGGGATACAAATTGAGCAAAAGAATGGTACGTAGAAAAATAATTAGATGCAAATCAAGAGACGAATGCACTACTTAAAAGTAAGGAGTGTGCTCAGTAAGAATCAGATCACCATCATACCTTGATCTTTGTTATACCATCCTCAGTAAAAATAAGATCACTATCGTACCTTGATCTTTGTTATACCATCCTTAGTAAGAATCAGATCATTATCGTACCTTGATCTTTGTTATACCATCCTCAGTAAGAAGCAGATCACTACTATACCTTGATCTTTGTCCTACCTTCCCCAGTAAGAAGCAGATCACTATCGTACCTTGATCTTTGTTTTACCACCCTCAGTAAGAATCAGATCACTACCGTACCTTGATCTTTGTTATACCATCCCTAGTAAGAAGCAGGTCACGACCCTTATCTTCGTTATACCACCCCAGTAAGAACCAGATCACTATCGTACCTTGATCTTTGTTATACCACCCCAGTAAGAATACGATCACTGCCGTACCTTGATCTTTGTTATACCATCCCCAGTAAGAACCAGATCACTACCGTACCTTGATCTTTGTTGTACCATCCTCAGTAAGAATAAGATCACTACCGTACCTTGATCTTTGTTATACCATCCTCAGTAAGAATAAGATCACTACCGTATCTTGATCTTCGTTATACCATCCTCAATAAGAAGCAGATCACTATCATACCTTGATCTTCGTTATACCATCCTCAATAAGAAGCAGATCACTATCATACCTTGATCTTTGTTATACCATCACATGCAAAAAATAATACAAAAAATAACAATAGTAAAAGATAAGAACATAACTTTTGGGGCACGTCTCTTAAGGGGACTAATTTGACCATCTCCATCTCGGTAAATGTTGTGTTCTCACTGCTGTAGGGGATGTACCTCCGCAGAAGAATTCTACTACACGTTTGTAACCTCTTGAACTTTAGAGTCATAGATCTAATAGTGAAATTTCACATTGATTTATAAAGTTTCACTGAGAACGATAACTATAATATGATTGAGTCGGAGTTGTTCATGTTTCACCAATCAGTTAAATGAGACACAGATTTTAGTTCATAGTTACAGCTTTTAATAACGTTCACGTAAGTATGACTAACTCTTACCAAATTATTATGACATTTAATTTCGGATGGCATGGTTAGGCCCCTAAATTTCACTGATTATAGTGAAAGTCAGTTATCTGGTGTCTTATATAGGTGCTGTATTCTATACACTTGAAATAGTAAAAGTTGTTTGCACAACATATTACAAATTCGTTTACGTATACGCTAAAGTAAACTAAAATGGTTAAAATGTAGGTCAATAAGTGTAATATACAAGTGTTATAAAGCGAAACGTTGTATTAATGGTAATGAAATAACTGTAATTATATTCTCTTGATCAGGAAGTTATGCATTACCAGTCACAAGACTGCCTTAGTGTTTCTAATGTTTCTTTGGTAGGCGTCAAATTTCAAATCAAAACCATTCCTAAAGGAAATTACAACAGTTTCTCATAGATCATCGTCCCATTTAAAAACCGTTATTCCAGCTTAGACAAGAATAAGTCTCTGTTAATACCCAAATGTTGAAAGTAAATTGTGTCATGTACAATATTAAAAGTTGTAAACACACACAACTCATTTGTGGTGCATTGGTACTAGTAGTGAGGTATGGGCTACGAAATGTAGTACACCGGGTTCTGACACGTTGAGGATACCAATAATATATGTAATTAACCCACCAGAAACATGATTCATTCAACAAACTAGAATATACATACACACTTTAACCTTATATTGTTTCTTCATACCAGAAAGTTTATTTGATGGTTTGTTTTAGCGTAGAGTTTCTCAAAAGCTGTATGCGATCTGTTAACAAGATTTCTACATCTTCTATTGCTGTATGCACAAAAATAAAAATACAAGGAAAACACTTCAGTTGCTGTTCAAATTCCAAGTCCTGTTGTGTGGACTTCAAGATGTCGCAGTAATTTTTGTTTAATTTTGTCGGTCACATTACTAGTTAGGCTAGACTGTAACACAGTGTATCAGCGCACTTGAACAAAAAACTAGTCAACAATTTAATTGTTGCGTTTTATTTGTTTAAACGTTTGTAGAAATGTCAGGATCCACAGTCATAAAGCAAAATGAAATTTCTTGACCCAAATGCAACAAAATGAGTTGTTTGTTTGTTTGTTTATGTCAAACACAAAGCCAGACAATGGGCTATCTGTGCCGTGCCCATCATGGATATCGAAACCTGATATTAGCGTTATAAGTCAACAAACGTAATGCCGAGCCACTGGGGGGAAGGTAAATGATTTTTAATAGCTTCTCAACACTTTATAGTCGTATTTTTTTACTAATTTATGTAAGTATCTTATCCAAGCGACCTGATGAACCCTGGTTTCGACGAAATGCCTAGTTGTCGCTGAATATAGTAGATATAATGTGGTTGAGATATCATGACATTCTCAACTTTTTCTCATAAGTTCTTATAATATTATATAATCATAGCGATAATTTCATGAATGCATTTCTTTATAAGTAGTGTAAATCATACATATCAGGAACATTGTATTGGTCTATTATCCATATTTGCCATAGTAATATATACTGTATATATAACCATACGTTTTGTATATTTCAGCATTTTTCCCTGAAGTTTCCTCTGATTGATGGGAGCCCTGTAATCTGAAAATATCACGATATTCAAAGAGTATATAAGATAAGCATGAAAGAAATGTATGTTATGGTTTCTTAAAGAACTTTATCTGATTCGTGTCTTTTCATAAATGTCTTGACGAACTTGAACTGATATTGTTCAATAGAATATACTACTTTAATACAGCTGGTGTCTTCGGAAATCTCTTTTACAGAACTTTGTCAGTAATCAAGAGATTTCAGGCAGAGAATTCCAAGAATAAACCACTTGAAGCTCTGTCGACAAAAAATATATATATTTAACCATCTTTTAGTTTATGTCACTTCAAAGTGAAAACGCTCAGTACGTGTCCATACATTAGTGCTTGATTTTAAGGACACTGAAGTGCTCTTTCCGAAAATGCTTTTTATTTCCTCCAATTACTAAGATTTTTAAGACTAAATTCTTTCAAGTTTTTAAAAAGGTTGCATAACAATCTAGCATTAGAGTCTCGCCTTTCGCACGCTCTAATAACTAGGAAATAAAAAAAAAGGTTTGAGAAATTATATAAACAACAGAAGCAATTTATTTAACGATTCAATTTGCCAAACGTTGGAATTATTGTAGAATAACATACTGTAAAATAAAATTTCTACTCAACCGAAGCACAAATTACAAGAAGTAACAAGATTAAACAACCGAGGTTTAAAAATAATTGAAGATGCAGGGGAGGCCCTGTCTTCGCTAGAATCTTAAAAGAAATAAACAAACAATATTTATGTTTTTTTATTACTATCTTACATATCTAACGTCATAATTTAATATCCCTGAGTTAGGGATATTAAAATTATAACTTCTAAATAAATGTCATGCATAATAGACTCCAACTCACATCCTTAATGGTGCTGGTCAAACCCTATCTACATATATATTTAATGTCATAATTTAACATTACTGGATTAGGGATACTGAAAATATAACTTCCAAATAAATTTCATGCATAATAGACTCCAACTCACATCCTTAATGGTGCTGGTCAAACCCTATCTACATATATATTTAATGTTATAATTTAACATTACTGGATTAGGGATATTAAAAATATAACTTCCAAATAAATTTCATGCCTAATATACTCCAACCCCCATTCCTAATGGTACTGGTCAAACCCTACAGTGTAAAAGATACTAGTACTACCAACGCAATATGATCGAGCAGCCTGAGACTATTGGCCATGTCTTTTAAATCATGGAGGCAGGCCGGCCTTTAGTGTATTAGTGCTGGGTGAACGCGCAATACGCACTAGCCCTATTCTTGTTCGTGCACTTTCATTTCTCCAATGATGAAGTAGGACGTGTCTAGTTACTTCTTTTGTTCCTTTGTTAAATAGAATGCAAACTCACCTGACTTACTACATAACCATTCTTGCAAGAATTTAAGCACAATTCTCCAAATATGTTAGAAAGGCATAAAATACGATATTTAATTCGTATTTAATATAATTGATATTTTAATATAAAATATGACATTGCTGTAAATTCAGCTACATTTCGTTTAAGTTGGTAGCAAAACCAAACACTGTTACAAAATTTACGTATGTAAATTATCATTATATTAACGTAAAATAGCAACATTTTCGAGATAATTATGAACAAAAATCTTTATTAACAATGTAATAGATATTGCCCCCCAGTGGAACAGCGGTATGACTGCGGACTTACAAAGCTAGAAACCGGGTTTCGATACCCGTGGTGGGCAGAGCACAGATAGCCCATTGTGTAGTTTTGTGCTTAATTCCAAACAAACAAACTAGCAATAGATATTGCTTTTTAGTAACTGTAATGATGACATCATTTCCTACAGCCGTCTTCCTTGCACCGATTTAAGAAAAATATAATTCCTTTCATCAATAACCTTGGAAACGTTGGTTCATTTTTCACTTAAACCATTTAGTTAATCCGTGTGAATAGTATTTCCAAAGTAATTTAGATAAATCGATTTCGATCGTAATGTACTGCAGAGATTCAGATTACAGGTATAATACTGCTAACAAACTCAAGATTGGCTGTGATATAAAGTAGGTAACTATTGTTTGATCAGTGACCATCTCCGACTCTCAAGTTTCTCCCATCATTCATATTACTAATGCTATTAAACTGGTAGGCTTGACTGATTATGCGTTGTTTACCAAACCTATTACTCTCGTTATGATGGAGGCTAAAATTGGATTAAGAGTAACAAAGCTAATGACTCGCATTTAAGAACACTAAGAGATTAAATTGCACATCTTTCTTTTGTGCAAGATTCAGCATCTCAGTTTTAATTCTCCTGTAGTGCGAATGGTAAATAAATAATAAAGATCCTGTTGATTCAATTGCAAAGACTTGGCCTAATTAAAAATTTGTTGAAAATTATTTTCTAAATACTCTAGAAAATATACTGCTATTTTCAGAATTTCTTAATACTGTTTGTTGAATTTAGATGAACATAGAATGTTATTACTCCTTAGAAGCAAATACTTTTTGAATTTCCTTCAGCTCAAATAAACAACACACAAAAAACGATTCCCTATCGTGGAGAAAACGTAGATGGTCGATTACGTATCTTTGTGCTAAAACAAATAAACAAAAGAAAGTCTTATAAAAACTTTTTCAACCTACACGGTCAGTCTCAAACCATTCAGTCTTTTCTAATGGCAAGGCATTTACCGTATCCAAGTAAACACTTCAAACATTGTTTCACACTACCTTACCGGTACTTACATTAATAATTAAACCTATACATCAATCTAAAACACTATATCACACTGGTTTACTTGTGAAACAGAAATCCTATATTAATTGGCGTTGTATTTTTGTGCATTTTTTGTTTGTATGCGATCTTATTCTACAGTTTTGGAGCTAGCAAGGCCAGAATAGACAGGTAGACTCGGGTAGCCCATGGGATGTCCTTATCTATATGCCGCAGCTCCATTTCTAAGAGGGTTTTCAGAAACGCTGAACCCGAATCTTCCATCGGATTTTGTGATACTAGCACCATTGAGGATAATGAAGGAGTCATGTTTGAAATTGTGTTCACGTTGCGCATATTTTCAGGTATTACGGGCGGATGTCCCAATAGATCACGTTTTTTGGGTAGGGGACCCCGGAGGATCTTCATCGGAATAGTTAGGCCTTTGTGAATCATGGAGAAGCCTTTGAAATCCACAGTAGAGCGAGGGTACTTTATGCTAGTCAAACCAAACCAGCTGGACTAGAACACTTCACACCCAATCTTATAAGTAAAGAAAGTAATAATAAAATCATCGTTGTTGACCTGAAACATAGTTTTTACACTATGATTTAGTTGGAAAACTAGTACATAAATCAGGGTGGTCGGAATGAATCTATTGAATTTTCTATCCTATATTAAATAAAATATTTGTGAAACAGGGCAATATAAAAAAATACAGAGGGTTTGTACCTTTCCTCCTTTTTGACCTAGCAAAGTAGATAAATTTCCTGGACACATAATCAAATCTCGGAAGTAAAAAACATCAAGGTTATTTATATTGAAGTAACTCAAGTTACTAACTCAATTAACCATGTTAAAAACAGCGTTAGTGGGAACTACCTAAAGAAAAGACGGCTTCAGGCACCGTTTTGTGTGTTCCATTTGTATACAATGTACAAATGGTAGAAGTAATGAAGTAAATGTCTTAGGAATGCGACAATAAACAAGTATAACAAATCTGGTTTTAGTGAGAATATAGTGTCATTCAGATTCACCACTGGTAGTAGAATTTCCTGAGATACACACGTATATAAATTTATTGTATGTTATTTAAGAATTTTCTACTGCCTGTCTGTGTACTTATTATATAAGTTATAAATAGGTCCTTATTCACGCTGATAGAAGACAGGTATAATAAATGTTTCGTAACCATGAGTTTGATAAAATACTTAAATTATCCGAATCAATTTGTTTGCTTATTCGTTTTAGCGCAAAATTGAACGTTATCTGAACTGTGGCCATCCCATGGACCGACCACTAATTTTAGTTTCATAAGACTTCAAGCACACAGGTGAGCAACCTGAGGGCTATCTGAATCAAGCTAGTAATTTTGGAATCACAAATCTTTGAATATTTACACATTTCTAGTGCGGTCAGAGTTAATGAAATACTTTCGGGTAATATCAGTTCTCAAAGGAATATCGAAAAGCCCAGTTAGTGAATCGTTAAACGAAACTGAAAAATTATTGGATTTCAACAATTATATAAAATAGCGCATTCTGGTGGTACTTAAACAAAACTAAAGTAATACTGCATACCTAGCGCACAAACTTAATCAGAAACTTAAAATCATATTTATGCGTAGATATTCCATAGAATTGAAGTTAAGAGAGAAAGTATATTTTCATAACCTTGTAGATCTTAGATGATCACTACCCAACACATCGAGAAGTAAATCAGGTTACAGTAACTCAATAAAGTTTAAGTCTGTAATTAGATATATATTGCAGTTAAAATCTGGATCACGTCAAATAAAATATTGAGTTTCTTCCTGTCAAACTTAAATTTTCTGTTTTTACTTACTCAAGAGGGAGAAACTCCTCGGTGACATTAGAAGAGAAATGAGCTTTAACTGGAGACCAGATTATAACAATCATTGCTGGAATTCCTGGAATAAAAAAGTAACAGTTATGTTTCACACATTATAAGTACATGCCCACAATGGCAAACAAGTAAAGATATAAAAGAAGTATTTATTTTACAACAAAATTTCTTATACTTTCAACATATGGAAAACAAGCATGTTTTGTTACAGGCTGTCGATGTTGATGTTTCTGATAATTAGTTGTTAATTATAGTTGACAAAACAATTAACAGACGTTTCACACAATTACCAGCATTGTGAATAAACAATTTATATTTTTTGTAAATTGTGTATTTCACCTTTGTTTTTTGATGAGAGAGACAATCTTGCTTCAGCAAAGTAACGTATACAAACGTAGGCACATACGTCTTAAGTTACATTTTACTCAAACATCCAAGCCAAAACAGTCAACAGCGTGTATATTGTTGAGACACGCAAACTAAGGAAGCACATTACATTCATACAGTAGTAAGTTGAACAACAACGATTGATAAACATAATGAAAATTATTTTATGTGGAGAACACACTATACGTTTCAAAAAATATTAGTCTGTCTTGTAAAGAAACCCAATGTCTGTTGAAACATATAGTATGCTCTTTACATAAAATATTTTTTATTATGTTTACAAATCATTTTGGTCAATTTACTATTATACTGTGCATGGTAGATGGTATCTCCAATTTACTATTACACTGTTCATGGTAGAAGGTATCTCCAATTTACTATTACACTGTGCATGGTAAAAGGTATCTCCAATTTACTATTACACTGTGCATGATAGAAGGTATCTCCAATTTACTATTACACTGTTCATGGTAGAAGGTATCTCCAATTTACTATTACACTGTGCCTGGTAAAAGATATCTCCAATTTACTATTACACTGTGCATGATAGAAGGTATCTCCAATTTACTATTACACTATGCATGGTAGAAGGTATCTCCAATTTACTATTACACTGTGCATGGTAAAAGGTATCTCCAATTTACTATTACACTGTTCATGGTAGAAGGTATCTCCAATTTACTATTACACTGTGCATGATAGAAGGTATCTACAATTTACTATTACACTGTGCATGATAGAAGGTATCTCCAATTTACTATTACACTGTTCATGGTAGAAGGTATCTCCGCACAGTGTAATAGTAAATTATGGTAGAAGGTATCTCCAATTTACTATTACACTGTGCATGGTAGAAGGTATCTTCAATTTACTATTACACTGTGCATGGTAGAAGGTATCTCCAGAGCAAGAAGTACCGTCGATGCCAGTTTTCAATATTTTGTGATGATTAAGTTGAATTCTGATTATATATCTATTATTTTTATTAATCACACAATTTACAAAATAGGGACTTTCATCAAATTATAAATAAGTGTTTATTATATTTTCTGAATAGACTGGATAGACCTCTGTATTTGGAAATGCTTATAATATTCACATGTACTAAACTGTTTTATATACAGTGTATCATATTTCGAAATTATGGTAAACTGTATGCAGATGAAAAAAATATTATTTTCTACATAAAACTTCATTTAGAGCTCTAGGTTAACACCAGTCGAAATCGTTAAGGTACATCAAATAATAACATTTTCATACTATAATTTTTTTATACCAGTTTGATGTACAAATTTAAATGCGGACTGGTATGACTTGGTGGTGGGGATACTCGACTCACAACCTACGGGTCACGGGTTCGAATCATTTCACCGAACGTGTTCGCCCTTTAAGCCACGAGGAACATTATAATGTAACAGACAATCCCACTATTCGTTGGTAACAAAGTAGCCCAGGAGTTGGTGCTAACTAGTTGCATTCCCTCAAGTCTATCATTTCAAAATTAGGGATGGTTGTCACAGGTAGCTCTTGAGTAGCTTTGCACCAAATTCAACAAACAAATTCAGTTTGCTCTATCGAAAGGTAACTGAAAAGTTTCTTTAATTGAAAGTTCACATAGATAAAGAAATGTAGAGGGAAAATATCGGCAAATTATACCCTGGGGTAGCTTAGTTTTCATTCTAAATCTACTGAGGATAAAAACAACTTCGTTATTGATCGCTGTTATGGTTAGTAGCCTACATAATAACCTACTAATAATAATAAACACATATGAACTTTCCACATTATATTTTTATAGTTATTTGAGTTTAAAATATGTTATATAAGCTTTTTTTACGTTATATACACAATATTTGCTCAAGCTTAAAATATGATTTATAAAAAAAAATCACGTTATATACACAATATTTACTTAAGTTTGAAATATGTTTTTATAGACATCCTTTGTCTAAAGTTTTGAGGTTAAGTTTAAAAACATAATGCTACGAACAGGAAAACAAAAATTTAATCTATTGAAATTTATAAAGTAAATATTTCCTCGCATTAAAAAACATAAAAATATGACGAAGATAGTATGGATATTAAAGACTGGTAAGTAAAATGACTAGTTGTAGTTTGGACCAAGTTCTCGCATGAAAATCTTTAATATACTGAATAAACCATTTACGAAGGATTTGGTTTGGTTTGTTTGCACAAGCTTCACAATACGCAATCTAATAATGCTTGGAGACGGCTTGAATTGATAATGAAGAAAACTTTACTACAAGTTTAACATAGCAGCAAATGTACATATCTGTGTCAGTGTCATCTACTTGTACCTGATGATGACAGAACCTTGTCGAAACGTTGTACATTTGCTGTTATGTTAAACTTATATTAACGTTTTTCTTCATTACCAATTCATGCCGTCTCCAAGCATTATTAATCTCAGAGTGAGTTCCTCGTCATCGAATAGGTAATCTGCGCTCTGTCCACCACGGGTAATCAAACTCCATAATTTAGCGTTGCAAATTATAAACTTATCCCTGACCCACCGGGGAAATTTTTCAAAGCTAGGGAGCATAGTAGTTTCATTTGAATAGAGCATTGATTCTGAACGTGTGGCGAGCGCCCCACAGGTGGACAATTTGAATATATTGGAGGGAAAGGGCAACTTAAAAATGCTACGATAAGAAAATTTTTTCACTTGGGTGTGAAGAGCGAAAAACGTTCCGCGACTCAAAACTGAATTTCTAAATTTTACATTATATTATTATACCTTTTCAACACCAAATTTGTTTTTATATTAAGAGGCATCAAATTTTTTGAGGTGTCGAGGTGGGGCATGGAGCAAAAAAAGGTTAAGAACCACTGGAATAAAGTAAATATTGTAATTATACATATAATGTATAAAAGGGGGGTTGTATATATATATATATATATATATATATTGTCTATTACTAACTAG